GCAGCAGCACAGAAGCAGCAGCAGCAACACAGCAGCAGGACAAAGAATGTTTGAATTTAATGAGTCTCGAAATGAAAAAGAAGCAATGCAACAAGAGCTCGCCGAACAAGATAAATACCAAAGCTGCTGCTGCTGCTGCTGCTGCTGCTGGTAGTGCTGCTGCTGCCAGTAGTGTTGCATCTGCTACTACTGCAGGTACGTTTCTGCAGGAGCAGCAGCAGCTGCTGCTGCAGAGCAGCTACTACCAGTGCTGCTGCATCTGCTGCTGCAACTGCTGCTGCTGCTGCATCTGCTGCTGCTGCTGCTGCTGCTGCTTACGACGGGGACTCTGTGCGGCAGCAAAAAGGAAGCTTTCAAGCTGGACTGCAGCACAAGTAAAGTAATTTGCAGCGCAGAAATGGAGACAGAAAGCCGCAGCAGCAAAATGTCTCCTTTGCGGATGCTGCGGGGCCAGCAGCAGCAGCAGGGCTGCTGCGCTGCTCTGTAGGAAGCAGCTCTGCGAAAACGAGAAAAACAAATAATTAAATTAATTAATTTTATTTAATTTGACTTCATTTAATTAATTTAATTGCATTCATTACTTGATTGAGGTTGTACCTATAATATTTACGTTTAGTATTATTGGCAGTGGCTTTTATTTGGTTGAATATTTATTATCTAATCGAACTCCTGCTGCTCCATCTACTGTTTGTGCTGCTGCTGCTGCTGCTGCTGCTGCTGCTGCTGTTCTTACAGGGGGTCTGTGCCGATGTTGGCGGTGACGAAGGCTTTAATTTCGGGGTCGAAGTAGCAGACCAAACCTGAGGTGTACGTACAGCTGAGAGGCGCAAGCTTTTAAAAACTTTAAAAGTGGAAGCTTTTCAAATAAAGAAGCTTTTAGAAACTCAAAAGAAAGAAACTTTCAAAAAGTAATAAAAGGGGTAAAAGACAAACTTCATTTTTGCTTTTATCGTGAGACATGCACATGTTTCAGGTGTACGTACAGCGTACTTCGAAGGCGCTTACGCGCATCTCGAACTTATTTGCATTTCACTTCTCGCAAACAATAAATATAAATAAAGATAAATAAATATAAATAAATACGAATAAAAAACAAGAATATAAATGTGTTTTGGAGTCGAAATAAAGAGAAAGAAAACGGCAGAAAAATGTCGCGCAGTGCAGTCTGAGGTGTACAGACACCTGAACCTACTGCCGGGACCGTTGGGGTCATCTGTGGCGATGCCAATTCTGAAATTTCCTTTTTTTGTTTTTATAACTTCTGCAGCAAAAAGAGCTTCATTTATATACCTGGGGGAGCCCAAAGTCCAGGCCCAGCCACTGCTGCAGCAGCTGCTGCTGCTGCTGCTGCTGCTGCGCATGCAAACCCGAGTCACTTCCGACGGGAATAAAGAGCCTCCTCCTGAAGTTTCATATTCGCTGTTTTCCTTCGAATAAAAGCAAACAAAAGAAACAATTAATTCAATTGAAATAGAATTTAATTGCAAATAAAGAAAATAAAAGAAACAGCAAGAAAACGCGCAACAGATTTAAATATATATTCACACATCAACCCCCATTTGCATGCATTCATGCATGCGCTTTTACACACATAAATGCATGCATCGACGCATGGACTTGTGCATGCATTTACGCAGGCATTCACTTATGCATGCATTTATGCATACATGCACTTATGCATGCACTTATGCATGCACGCATGCATGTATTTATGCATGCACTCATGCATGCATTTGTGCATGTACTTATGATGCGTGCATGCATGCACTTGTGCATGCACATGCATGCATGCAACTATGCATGCAATTATGCAATTAAGTATGCATGCAATTATGCATGTATGCATGCATGCATGCATGTATGCAATTATGCATGCAATTATGCATGCAATTATGCATGCATGCATGCATGCATGCAATTATGCATGCATGCATGCATGCATGCATGCAATTATGCATGCATGCAATTATGCATGCATGCATGCATGCAATTATGCATGCATGCAATTATGCATGCATGCATGCATGCAATTATGCATGCATGCAATTATGCATGCATGCAATTATGCATGCACACTTTCCAAAAGAAGACTCTAGATCTGAACTCGGAGTGGGAGAACTTTCGAAAACATGCACTCAGCAAAATGCTTTCCAAGTCCGGCTCGCGGATCCTCTCCAGCTGCTGCGGAGACATGCTGCAGAAACGAATGCCCCGGTATATTGCCTGTAGCAGCAGCAGCAGCAGCAGCAGCAGCAGCAGCAAGTGCAACGAATGCTGCTGCAGAGATATGCTGCTCTAACGATTTCTCCTAGAAGCAGTAGCGGCGGCAGCAGCAGCAGCAGCAAATAGAGCAGGAATAGCAGCAGCAGCAGCAAATGCAGCAAGAATAATAGCAGCAGCAGCAAATGCAGAAAGAACAGCAGCAGCAGCAGCAGCAGAAACAGAAGCAATGGTGAAGGCAGCAAGCTAGATACACAGGCAGCTAGCTAGCTAGCTAACTAGCTAGCTAGCTCCCCATCTATCAAGCTAGCTATTCCTCTAGCTAGCTAGCTAACCAGCTAGCTATCTCTCTCTATAGCTAGCTAACCAGCTAGCTAGCTAGATAGCCATCTATCCCCCCAGCTAGCCATTCATCTAGCTGGCTAGCTACATATTCAGCCCCATATCTTTATATCTATTCAGCTAGCCAGCCAGCCACCTAGCCATTTAGCTAACTAGCCAGCTAGCCAGCTAGCCAGCTAGCTAGCTACCCAATTAGCCAGCTAGCTAGCTGGCTAGCTAGCC